TCCTAGCCGCTTTGTCATTAGCGCCTTTCCGGCACCGCCAAATTTCGTACGCCATTTAATTATCGAAGCCTCTGATTTATTTCCAGGTTGATTACTCGTGAAATGATTCGTCGAGATTTAGGTGAAAAAATTAATTCCTTAACTATCTGCATTCATCGCGCTATTCTTTAAAACGCTTAATAGAAATCTTAATCAGTTATACATTTTAAACTTCAGAACTTAAATCCGCAAACGAAACTATAAACTTTTCAGTGGAACGTTACAAACATTACTTTATATACATTCAAATGCACACTGTTAAAGACCACTTACGGGCACACTACAAAAGATTTCACAATAACATACGTGGACATACTAACACACTCATGCAAGTTATGGCTACATTTCATATTCTCGAAAACACGCTTTGGAGGCTCGAAAAAAGTTGGTTGAGGGATCTCCTCGCTTAACAAAGTATACTAAAATCAAGATAGGAAGGAATGTCGCTTGGCACTCCTCTCCCTTGAGCCCCATATAAAGCCACTACAAGTAATCTTCCCGACATCAGATTCGTTGATTATCATTACTTATGACAATCGCTGATTGTCATAGGATGAAGAAATCAAGATTGCTTTGCCTTATGGTGAGATATTAAAGCGCCAATATGAGGGTTTATTTCGCTCACGCAGGATTAATAAATTTCTCTGAGTGGATATACTTTTTTTTAAACTTTTAAACCAAACACATGTCCGTCAACAAACATTTTCCAATCTGGGTCATAGCTGACAGCTGAGACTATTTATTCAAGGGAAGCTCAATCGTTGCCTAGATATTCTAGAGAAAACAATGGAAATCTAAACATGGAAGCAATAGAATCACAATATGGATATTATTCCTGGAAAATCTAGAACGGTTTTTCAAATAAAATAAATTAATTTCTGTGCCAGATCTGTAACTTCCGACTCGAAACTATTCTCGTCATGCGATGCAGGAATTATGTTAGGAAGAACCTGTGTGACGTTATGTCACGAACTCGACGGAACTGTTACAAATCAGAGTTCTTGGAAGTATAACTGAATCTATAAGGGTCTCGAAAGTTTTTATTGAGTTTACATTTTTTAAAATTGTCGCTTCTCCCGAAATATGCACCTAAGTATATTTTACCTTCCTAGATACCTGTATGCAAATATGAATCATGGTCATAAAGTTCATAGAGGACATTCATAGTAAAGGATTTTTTCCAAATATTTAAAAAAAAAAAAATGAATTTATTTAATAGGAGGTAGGAAACAAATATGTCTTGTTTCTTACCTCCTAATAAATAAATTCATATTTTTTTAAATATTTGGAAAAAATCCTTTACTTTGAATGTCCTCTATGAACTTAATGACCATGATTTATATTTGTATACAAGTATCTAGTAAGGTCGAAAATTGGTACTATCGGAATTTTTATTTATTTATTTTATTTCTTGGAACAAGGATGATAGCTCAGGTTCTGACAAAGGTTGGGTGTGCCCAAGTAGAGTAATAAGAAGTACCTCGACACGAATCAGAAATAGCATCCACTTAGCTTTATTTAGTAACAGTTTTTTTTTTTTCATTGCTTTGTTTTCTTCAGTTTGAGGATGCTTGAAGTTCCAAGGAAGAAAACATATGATCCACTAAAATGCAATAATGTAAACAATTTCCCTCTTGAACTAAATATTAGGTAGTAATAACGTTTTAGTAAATACGTTCTCAAGTTGTAGGTGAAGTTTGATGGATTGCTATCCTTGTAGAGATTTAGTTCCTAGCTAATGTTCTTGAGATGTGACAAGATAGATGGGAGCCGATTTGAAGATAATTTCGAAGGTTATTTTGATACGTCACAAATATTTTGTGCGATTGAAACATCGAATCCTCTATATATATTATGTAAAATAAAACAACAAACTGTGATTTTTTTCCTTTATGATAATAATTTAAAATGTGCTATATTATATCACTATATACTATATTTACAATACAACGAGGAAATATGAAATGAGCATATAAAAAATATATAAATGATATTAACTTTTTAAGAAACTATTCATCGCTATTCTATTTTGGGAAATCCCATTATTATCTTTTTTTCAAATGCCTGGAATGATTATTGGGATAGATGGGAATAGATTTGGGTAAAAGGTAGCCAGAGCTAGTGAGTTTATGAGCGCATGTTTTCGATTAAAAGACGTATGTCTATTTTGGATTGAATATGCGAAAAGCAGAATGTTGAGGTCTTCATGGATAATTTTATTACTGGCTTAATAAGCAGCATTAAGAGTTCTTTGAAGGATTTCGATTTGTTGGACTGGATGCGTGAAAATAGAAAGTTTATTTCAGTTTGAAATATCTGTTCTTTTTGTCAATGTAAAGGAAATTTTGGTATAAATATCGATGTTATAATAATATATAGTTATTGAAAAGATTTTGAGCAGCGGGGTAGCTCATTAGAGTTCATTGATCCCCTACGCTTAAGGTCCTGGATTCGAATTCGGCTGATTGTAGGTAATTATTTATTCTATTTCATGAGCCATAGATCAACCTTGGGTTCTGGAGGCTCTCGTAGAGCACAACCCTTTATAAAGCGAGTACTCTTATTCAGAATTAATTAAGGGGAAAAACCTTGAGAGTAATCTCGGTCAAGATTCACAATCGTTGTCCTTGAAACAGTACTTCCTTCCAAAGTACTTATCCCTAGACCATTCATTGGCTGTAGTGTAGTGTAGTATATATATATATATATATATATATATAATATATATATATATATATATATATATATATATATATATATATATATATATATATTATACATAGGTTTAGGATATTTCGCCTTATATTTTGACCGAAGATTGCGACATCCAAACTCGCCATTAGATGCACAACCTCTGAAAGATTAGCCTTCCAGCTGAGATGCCATTGATAAATGAAATAGACACTCGGCGTTTCTATTGATAGCGCTGGATGGCTGCCACCTCCCCAGCAGCAGTTGTCAATCATTGCCCTTCCATCCTGAGAGTCGATCCTGCCTCCCATTTAACTCTTCTTCCGCCTCGTTCCCATGCGTACGGGTGATAAGTGGTCTCGGGTGCAACTGCGTTCACGATAGCGCTGTAGTACGCTTCCTCCGAAACTGATAACTATCTAGTTTCCCGTTTATGGCGATAACCATTGGTTATATCGTACGCTAGGGTCCTGATGATAAAATGTGAGAATTGTACTGGGCTTCTAAGAAGAATAGATGAGACATAGACCACCGCGAAACTTTAAGATGATTGGAGATATGTAAAAAAACAATTTTTTTTACCCTAATTAGTTTTCCAAGATGACAGACGGATTTCTTACTTCGTATTAAATAAAACACTAAAAAAATTTCAGAAAAAAGTCTCTTAACATTAAATGCAATGTTCAGGCGTTATGTCCATATGTTTTATGTTTACATAAGCGTAATTATCAATAATTATTTTTACAGAAATTTATATTGCTTACAGTTATCCGATTATAAAATATTAAATAAAAATAAATTGTTGCTTAAAGGAAAGTAAGGATGGGCAACTATTTTATGGAGGTAGTGTATAAAACATTAAGCTGAGATCTTGTATTTAGAGTATTCCTAAATAGTGGAACGTTGGGTGACGATTTCTTAGAGTTTTATTGTTCTAAATTGTTAAATTGTTCTAAATTCATAACCATACCCATATTATAGTTATTCGGCTCAGAGAACAGTACATAGAGCTACATTTTTTTTTCTACTTATTTTATTAACTTTTAGTTATTTTTGATTAATAAGAAATAAATAAATAAAATTAACCAATATTAATATAAAACGTATCTAAAAGTATAATTGCTTATGTGCTAAGCATATTGAAAGCCATATATATATATATAGAGAGAGAGAGAGAGAGAGAGAGAGAAAGAGAGAGAGACTTTATTATCATAAAAGGGTGCTGCTCAATTACATTGGGTTGCTTCAAACACAGCATACTTATTAATCACTACAGACAATTTTTTAAAACTAATATACAATTATATAGGATTAACAATATGTATGAGCATAGTATACAATATGTGTGTGTGTGTGTGTGTGTGTGTGTGTTACTATTTTTTATTGTTTTTTCTATTTTTTTTTCTTTTTGTTTATTTTATTTTTTTTTACTATTTCTTTCCTTCATTTAACATTCTATATCCCTTTCTCTTCCTTCTCCCCCCTTATACATTTTTCCTACTGCTCATATTCTCTCCTCTCTCTTCCTAACCTAATTAATAAAATGCATTCAAATAAATGTGCAGTGGACATGTACAATAAATAATATATAAACATTTATGTTTCTATATTGGTCCCTACATAAGAATCAACTATTGTAAATACGCATGATTGTTTTTGTTTTTTTCTTTCTCTTTCTTGTTTATTTATTTTTTAATTTGTGTTGTATCATATTTTATATTATCTGTTTTACTAAGCTTTCTTTTTCTTATTTTTGTTATAATTTCTATTATTTTTGTAATTGTATGAATGAGTTTCTCACATCTCGAATACTCAAATGCCCTTGATTGAGGCAAAATGTATTTTTTCTGAATTAAATAAAAAAAAAACAAAAATAAACATACGAAACATATCGATCATCCGTTGGAATACCGATGAAACTGTAAAATTTTGGAAAAATGTTTTATCACATTGATTTGTCAAAAAGACGTGTTAAATTGAAGCGATGTCATACTATAATCTAAGCAAAATTTAAATCGATCGAAGAATTTTATTTTTTTACAATCATTTTAATATTTGTGTTGTATAATTTGCAGTTCATATCATTTTTTTTCACCGGATGTATAATATCTTTAATATATTTAATAATTAATGTTTTTGTAAAATTAAAAGTGATAATTTTATATAAAAATGTATGTTAAAATTTTATCCATCTATAGCTTAGCAGGGTTATCGTTGATGAATAAAACTTGATAAATAATGGTGGATGTTATCTTCGTTTATTTATTTGATCAGCTATGAGCTTTGGCACGAATGTATCTCCATTCATTGTTGGGATAATTTCTTATATGCATTATATCTTCTGTCAACATGCTTGTTGTAGGCGGAAGAGATGTCGGACTTTCCCATGCTCTCGATACTCGTGTAGATTTTGTTATTGCTGCTTGTAAATGTTGTAATCTCCTAAACGGTCCATGACATAATAGACTAGGAACTACCAACAGGATATATATATATATATATATATATATATATATATATATATATATATATAATTTCGTTTGCTTTAACAGCCGCTTACCTTCGCATATATTAACGTTTCTACAGGAGATCTATAATAAATTAAATTCTCTTTCAAATTTAATATAATGAATTACTTCGTGAAATGCATAGAGTTTGATTAATTGAAGTAAAATCAACGAAGAAATCTATTTCTTGTAAAGTACTCAAATAATCAATTTGCTCTAACTCCTCACATGTTGATCCTATATTAAAAATCTATTTATAAAATTAAAATTAAATTTTATCTGCTTTCATTTTATGTTGATTAATTTTTAGATAAAATACATAGTTTTGGTGGAGGCATGGCCGAAAAAAACTAAAAATTTCGTTTGTTAACTTTAAATTCACATAAAAATGCATAAAACAGGCAATTGCATTTTTTTCTCACAAAAATCTACCATTTGACTGTACTAATTTGATTATTTGACGACGTCAGTTTAAAAAGTGGAACCGGGTATAAAGTCAATCAAGGTGAAGTATCATTTAGGGACACAATTTATATACCGTATCAAAATTTCAGGTATCATTACTTCTGTTAAACGGAACTTTAACAGCCGGTTACTTTCGCACATATTATCGTCTCTGTATGAAATTTATAAGAAATTTAATTAACTTTCAAATTCAATATAATGAATTTCTTCGAGAAATGCATAGATTTTGACTAATTGAGGTAAAACCGACCAAGTTACTTCTTGTGAAGTACTCAAATAGTCAATTTGCTTTATCTCCTCACACATCCTACATTAAAAAGCTATTTATTATAAAGTTGATCGTGTTTTATCTCCTTTTATTTTATATAGATTAATATTATATATATATATATATATATATATATATATATATATATATATTTATATATATGGTTCACATTAATTTGTCAAATATATATATATATATGTATATGTATATATTTGATTACTGAGCTTCCATATTCTGTTTCATTAGCCGTGGGACGACCCTGGGTAGGTAGACCCTCCTGGGGCACACCCAGCCTCTATAAAATGGGTACCTTTAATTAAAATAATTAATTAATACACTTGGGTTGTAGTGGTACAGGTAATATTTTTGGAGTCATGGTCGAAAAACTTTAAAAAAGTGCGAACATTTCGTTTGTTAACTTCAAATTCACATCCAGGATGCCATTTAATGGATGGATGCATTGGATGGAGACATTTAAAAATAAAACGCATAAAAACAGGCTATTGAATTTTTTTCACAAATGTCGACCATTTGAGTAGACTAATTTGATTATTTTGACGCCGTCAGTTTTCAAAATGGAACCGGGTATAAAGTCGGTCAAGGTGAAATATCATTTAGGGACACATTCTGTACTTCGTATCAAAATTTTAGACATCATTAGTGCCGTTAAATGAAACGTCAAATTCGCCAGTTTAATATAAATTTTCTTAATTGAAGCTAAGCCTTTCAACCGATTGACACAGGTAGTGTGTTCATATGAGGTTTATTTGGAATTTAAAATGGTTAATAGCTATAAGCACTTCCCTTTCCGAACCAAATGGTCCGTAGCTTCTTGCTTATAAGATCCTCGACAGAGAATCGACCTTGCGACGAAGATACCATCCGAAGCCTGATTGTTCCTTCCCCCGACATAACCTCGCTGACTTATCAGCCGACGATTAGGAACATAGCTAACCGATCCGGCGGATGATCTAATATCGGGAGAGAGTGCGTAGCGGCTGTTGGATAACCTAGTCCTCTATGACCCAGATCCGGCGAGATGTGGGCCAATGTCGGTTCGGCCTTTGCACAACTCCCGCTCACAGACAAATTTTGATCGTGTCCTTCTGTGTCGGGGAGGCTGTCCGTCCACGAATCTAGGAGTACGATATGGGAGTCGTATCATCATGTAGGATATTTCGAAGGACATTGCAAAAAATAAAATAAATAATTAAGTGTGTCCTTGTAGTATTTCCACTGATTGACAAACGAAGGTCTCAATTAATAACCGATAACCGATTTTAAACAATTTTTTTTCATAGTGATTTTATATTTGAAAAAATTGTCGTGCGCGTATCCCCGCATTAGACTTATAGAAGCTGAGAAAACAATATATTGAATTTTAAACGTATTGCCTCCTCATTAGCGCTTCTTTTCCAATACAAATTTATTTTAACATTTTATTGAGAAATATTAATCTGTCTCAGCTAAGGACACTTCTAATAGGGTTTAGAGAGTACATTCATACCGTATATACAGAAATATAAATAAATAAAGTAATAACAAAAGAATAAGAAAAAAAAGAACAAAAGAGAAAAAAAAAACAATATATATACACACATAAGTAAGTAAAAATAGAAATAAAAGTAAAACAAACATCTTAGATACATGCATACCTATATACACTATTTACAATCAGTCAGGTGATCTCCAAACCAATCTTCTCTCCCTTGTGTGGAGGGAAAAGCGATGCTAAGGAGATCCCTACGCCACTTTACTGGTATTTAAAACCAGCGGAGGATGAATAAGAGCGCTACAGCCACAGACACTCATGACTTGAGTGGAGAATCTGGCCACTGCCGCTTTAACCTGTAGGGATGGGTGGTACTTGATAGGGATTGTACAACGGAATTTGAGTGATGAGAAAGGTTCTGGTGAAATTTGGAAAACTTGGCTATGATAAGATCAAGAATAAATGGGATATTAAGGTCATTATGCAGGATTTTATTGGTTACATAGAAGGGAGCATCGACTATTGTACGGAGGACTTTAGACTGAAAGGATTGAATGCGTTTGATGTTAGAAAATTAAGCTGTTCGCCATAGTTCTAGTCCGTAAGTCCAGATGGGTTTCAGTATTGTCTTGTAGATCAGTAATTTGTTTTCACCAGAAAGTTTAGATGTTCTATTCAGTAGTCTATATAGCTGTCCGTATCGTCTGTTAAGTTCCTATCTTTTAAGTCTAGTATGTGGATTCCACGTTAGTCGTCTGTCTAAGAGAAAGCCAAGAAACCGGACTGTGTCAAAATACAAATTTTAATAAAAATCCTCATAATCGAAAATTACCTGCGTCATTTTTATGTTTCAAGCATCAAATTCTGTTTCGCGTGGTCAAATATATGTGACGGGTATGACACCTACTACCGTTTTACTACCGTAACTTTCAGGTCATTAAATCAGGTTTCAAATTTTCAAGTTCACATTTAGTTTTAATTCAATTTTGTTTTATAAATAAAATATTTAATATTTTAAAATGAATGAATAATACATTTGTTTTTAGTCGAGGGGACTCTAATCAATATTTTTTTTTAACCTTATTATCTGTGTAATAATAAAATTTAAAATATAGCTTAAAAATTAATAATTATTAGACTAAAAACAATTTTAGATTATATGAAATGAGTATTAGATGAAAATAAATATTAAGTAAGGTCGAAGGGTCAAAAAAATTAAAATTATGTGAATTTGAAACCAAACGGTTCATATGTAATGAAATAAAAGCCAGTACATGCGAAGATTGCTTTTTTTTTTTTAAATATTTAATAATTATTTATTTTCAAAATTCTATTTATATTTGATTTTATTTAACGAACATAACTCTGTCCAGTAATTAAGAGCTTTCATACGAATAATAATAATGACTCCATCTCATAGTAATATATAATAAAATAAAAATTATTCCGTAACGAAAACTTTATTAACTATAATAAAATACGATCATGGCTTTATACAACAATAAAAAAGTAATTGACCATAATAGTGTTAATTAACAATCTTTTCAAAGCCATAAGTTGTAATAAAACCCGACAATGGTTAGTCATAGCAGCTAATCTCTGTTGACCGACATTGGCCCAGTTACCGGCAGAATGTGGGTCACAGCTCAAATACTCTTACACTCTATCTATAATTATCCTATTTATAATTTTGAAAATTATTATAATAGTAAAAATCATTTTTATATATCATTCGAATCGAAATATTAAACTTATTTGATATTAGGAGAGTCGGGGGCATCAACTTTCTTCTTCGTGTGCAATTACAATAAAATAAAAATTATTAATAAAAATATAATGAAATACAGTAAACATGCACAACTGTCATTTAAGTCCGCCTTATAGACATAGGCGCAGATTTCGGAGATACGAGGGAGATCGACCCCTCTAATAAAAATACAGGGGGGTAATAATATAGTTTCGTCCCCGTCAATATTTCGAAGAACAAAAAATAAAGTCAAAATTAATAACAATTAAAGTATATGAATAAATAAAATATGTAAACTAACATCAATTAAGAATATAGGAAAAAGAAGTAGCTACGCAGATTTTTTTATCACCCCCTATGTTTCTGTTATTGGAATTTTATTTTGTATTAAAATATTGTATGTAGCAACATATCCTTGGATTTTATGATTCGTATATGTTCATCCTTCCATTTTTACGTGAAGCTTTTACCATATTTCCTGCTACAAATTTGAAACATTGAAGAATATACAGGGTGTTTCAGGGTCAAGTGGCCAAATTGAAAATACGAACTAAGAACTTCAAAACAAGAAAAAAATTTCCTCTGAAGGTATGTCCGCAAACGCTTGTTTAAGAGATATTCACACCTGAAGATTTTCATTGTTATGAAGATATGAAATAAATAAAACCTATTTGTTTGTTCTAACTACTTTATTAATTAAATTTATAGAGTGCTACCATTGGGTAGTTACTCAGCAAGTGTATTCATGTCATTATATCTATTATGTCCAAATTTACTTGATGTATTTATGTAATACAGTTGTAAATGTCATTAAGAAATAAAAAAAAATAAATTTAAATATTAACATTCATATTAAATGTTGTTCAAAGTGAAGGTATGTCGGCAAACGCTTTGTTTAGGATATGGTTTGGCTTATTGTCTATTATTATTATAACTAATATGGCCTTTTATCCCTAACTGTATAAAGATTATTGGCAACATAAGGATTGTTACTATTTGGAATTAGCATTGGGAACTCTCAATAACATTTATCAGTTTGTAAGACGTTTTCGCAGAGTGCTCATCATTATGCCTTCCATTTATACTAATAATGAATATGCCGTTATGGTGTTTGTATTCGGTTTGGGGTGACATTGAAAAAAAAGTCTATGCAATTTTTTTCCTTATTATTGGGATGAAGTTCCCCCAAATGGTAAAATATAACCATGTTTTATGAAAAAAAAATTATCTTTTAAAGTATTATTGTTCGTGTAATTACATTTCAAAGGACTTTAGGAATCACTTAAACGCCATTTCATATAGGTAGTTAGTTTCTTTATTTTTTTCTAAAGCAAATATCGTTATTTTTATGAAAAAAAAGCTTTCGGGCTGAAGCCACCCCTCAAAATGAAATCCTGGATCCGCTGGTACTTTTTACTCAAAAACAATAGTCCCTAGTACAGACAACGTTTAATCAAATTATTAACATCGGCCTAAAGCTTTGTGAATGCCTTCATCTTATTATAACGTGCAAAGTTTTTATCTACGTAACTTCAGAATCAGAAATGAGATAATTTTATGGCAAAATCGAGAAAAGGGTGGCCTATAAAAATATTGGGGCTTTCGGCATACATAATCTCATTACATCGACATGTTTAGGACGGAGATCACACCAAACGGTCCACTATTTTTGCAGGCCACCTTTTATCTCGATTTTTGTGATGAAATTATCTTACGATTCAAATAGAAACCAAATGGTTTTTTTTTTTTTAGTACCTCGTTAATTAGACATTTTCCAATCTTTAGATCGAAAACGCCCTATTTTCGGGAATTTTTCTTATTAAAAAAATAGTAGTTTCCTATAAGATAAAGTAATTGACGAGATTTTAAACGAATGTTAATAATTAGATTAAAAAAAAGTGTCGATAACGCTGGATATTAGTTATTTTTTTATTTTAACAATCTGTTAACTAAAACAAGTTGATATTTGGATGTAGGAATATTTCAAGCGGGTAATTGGGCCTAAGTGCTCTCTAATATGCTGGGGTTAATTGAGAGTTTCACTTTTTTTAGGCAATTAGGCCTATGTGAAAGTGAAAGTCGGTTTACTCCTTTTTACAGGCAATTTATCCTAGTACGGCATCATATTAAGAGTAATTGAAACGTGTTTAATAAAAACTTAAATGCTCGGAAGTTTTTATATATGCTTATCGCAAATCAATTTTATTTTAATTTAGTATTTCCCTCACTCCGAAACATAAATTATAAGTATACCAGTGGCGTGCAAATTTAACCTTATAGACACACATATTTATGTATAGACACACACAACGAATGACTTTGTACAAATGGTTTTAAAAAGTCGCAAATAATTCACGTTTTCATGAAAAACAGAACTTACGTAGTTTAGCTCCTTAAGTGTCCCTACAATTTATTGTAGTAATTTTTGCTGAATACACGGTTACTTTTAGATAAAAAAATACCTTATTTTTTTTAAACAACCTAAAATCTCAACTTAAGAATTATGGATTTTTTTCTAAAATTTGGGCATCTGTAATATTGTTGGAGGATGATAAAAAAAAATTATAACTATACCAGTGCTGCGCAAATTTACCTTTATAAAATATTATATATATGTATAGACACACACAACGAATGACTTTGTAAAAACGTTGAAAAAAAAATCGCGGATAATCCAAGGTTTTATGAAAAACTTTTAGATTCTTAAAAATCCTGTTAAAATTGTTTTAATAAATCATTACTTTATTTCTAGTTAAACGATTTTTTTTTCTCTAGTTTACTATGAACTAATCATTTATCACCTAAAATAAAGAATAATCGTGACATATGCTTAAAAAAAAGACCGAACTTAAATTTAACTGGTTTTCTGCGAGAAACTGGACTATAGTTTTATTTTTAGTAACTCTTGTGGTCTTCTATCAGACTTTGTTCTTGTGTATATCATGTATATGCTCATATTATATTGTATATACATTTGCATAAAATAAATTACGCAAAATACATTTAAAAAATTACTCAAGTTTTTAAAGGAGCTTTTGGTATAAACAAAAATAAAATAAAATATCTGTCATTTTACACTATCTCTGTGAGGACTATATCAAAACCAGTACAATCGAGTTCTTGTATTCAGTGAGTGTCCTATTAATACAGACCAAACCTGTAAAATATCGGTTTTTATTTACTTATGATATCTTTCGAGGATT